TTTATTTACACTATTCAGAAGAGGGATTGGGATCACTCTTAATATGTAAACATTTTTGATCGAAAGTCATCTAAGAACGAACCAACATCCTGTAGAATTTACAGGGAAGAATTGATTATAATAGAATTTCATGGGCCTATCTCAAATTTTGAACTTAAATCTGGGACTCAGCAAAATGACGTAAATAGATGATATTGAATGAGTTTAAGTTTAATAGAATTTATTGAACGAGTTAAATAAAATTATATTATTATACTCTGGTGAGCATAATATTATTTTATTTAACGAGTTCAATAAATTCAGTAAAGAACTTACACGAATTTCATATTCCATTTATTATTTACCCAAAATAAAGTCAGTTTTTAGTGAAAAAGAGTCATTTTCATTGACGCGCAAATAGTATAACGCTAACATTTAGGGCGTCTTTAAACTATGTTTGTAAAACGCTTAAGCAATACTGCTTTCACGGAGTTGCAAATTCGGCACGGGTATGGTATAAAGGAACTTTCTGTGTGAAAGTATACATTTCGAAATTCTTGAATAATCTAAAGGAGTTTAAGATACGAGCTTTTTCCACCAAAAATATTTTGCACTGCTTTTGAATTTTCTTTCAGTTTTCTAGTGAATAGTTTTTTTCTACATTTAGAATTAACTGAGCTATAACAAGGATGTACATGTTATGATTTTGATTTAAACATATTTATTGCCAAGAATAAGACATATACATACATGTAAACAGTTACAATACAATGACATGACATATTTGGCAAAAGGGTTGACCCTCAAAATAGATAAATACAGAATCCCTTAAGGAAGCCGAACACGGCAAAATTGAAAATGTTGCAGGCTCGGTTTGATTGAGCCTGTTCATGGAAGGTACTGGAAAGTGTAAGTTACCGTCCACGCCCCTAGCACCGGCTTAAGCAGAATTCAACATTTAAACATGAAATAGTAAAATTTTGAATTTAGAAACATCCGCAGATGTGTTCAGACGGCGGTTATCATGGAACCTTCAATGTGACACAGTATTGCCATTCCATGAAAAGCGGCGTATGGTCCCCAAGTAATAAAAAGCGTGTGCCCTAAACGAGAAAACAATGGGCGGAACTAAATAAAATAGAATTTTGAAAGGGGATCAGAGGTTATGAAGCCTGTGTATCACAGATAAGACGTCAAAAGACAAACTTAAAAAGCAGGCAACATATCCTAAGAGTGATTCAACATTATTCAAGTAGGAATATTGGAACCACCCAACTTGAAAATGCCGAAAAGTTGAAACTAAAAATACCACAAGCACAACAATAATGTCGTGCTGAACGATCTCCAAGGATCGAAAATATAACATCATTGATTAAATGTACGTGGAGACATTTTACAGCCGCCACACGGCACAAATAACACGGATGTGATCATAAAATAGATAAATACAGAATCCCTAAAGGAAGCTGAACACTTCAAAATTTAAAATGTTGCAGGCTCGGTTTGATTGAGCCTGTTCATGGAAGGTACTGGAAAGTGCAAGTTACCGTCCACGCCCCCTAGCACCGGCTTAAGCAGAATTCAACATTAAACATGAAATAGTAAAACTTTGAATTTAGAAACATCCGCAGATGTGTTCATACGGCGGTTATCATGGAACCTTCAATGTGACACAGTATTGCCATTCCATGAAAAGCGGCGTATGGTCCCCAAGTAATAAAAAGCGTGTGCCCTAAACGAGAAAACAATGGGCGGAACTAAATAAAATGGTATTTTGAAAGGGGATCAGAGGTTATGAAGCCTGTGTATCACAGATAAGACGTCAAAAGACAAATTTAAAAAGGAGGCAACATATCCTAAGGGTGATTCAACATTATTCAAGTAGGAATATTGGAACCACCCAACTAGAAAATGCCGAAAAGTTGAAACTAAAAATACCACAAGCACAACAATAATGTCGTGCTGAACGATCTTCAAGGATCGAAAATATAACATCATTGATTAAATGTACGGGGAGACTTTTTACAGCCGCCACACGGCACAAATAACACGGATGTGATCATAAAATAGATAAATACAGAATCCCTAAAGGAAGTTCCCACAAGTTCTCTCAACATTAGCAACGGGTCTTCCCTGTATATGTACATGTTATTATGTATACACCCTGATTAAAAGTTAAACAAAATACATAAAAAGCGGAGCAACATGGGTTTACAAGTATTCAGTGATGTATTTATACAACTCATTGTCATTTAATAAATTCTATTTATATAACTGCCAACACTTGCATATTTTATTACAAATTTTGTAAGGTCATATGTGAAAACAAATATTAGAAACACATACAATAGCTTACTCTACTTTGATGAGACATGTAAATGTTATGTTTCATAATTTAATTTCTTTGTCTGAAAATAGCTCTTCAGTAACTTTATAAGAAAATGTCATTGTCAATCAAGAATTGGTAACGTAACTTCACAATTATATACAAAACTTAGAAAGTTAAACAAGGCCCGTGTTCAGAAAAGATCAGATCAAATAAATCTTATTTTTTTCATTGTTTAATAATACTAAAATTTAGCGTATTTTGCTAGAATATAATGGTACATATTCAATTGCTGATTTGCAAAGAAACCAACATATTTTAAGAAAAAATAAACGAATAATAAAGCAAATACAATAATAATCGGATCAAAATTAGGACCAATTTTAGGCTAAGAATCGTATTCAAAGATATATCTTCTGAACGGGATACAAATATCTTAACATCCTCAGTCAATGCAAACGTACAAATATTCAAATCTTTTTTTGCTGATGATTTTATTGTTAGAATAAAAGCAAAACTGCTATATAAAATTAAAATAAATGAATAAATAAATGAATAGCTATTGCATATTTCGCCATATCTCTAACAATATAAACACGAATAAAATCTCTCGGTTGCGTCCTTAATCTTGTTGTCACATGTTTACTTCGCTATCCATCGATAGAACTAGGTTGTCAATACTCATTAGGAATCTCGTCGTGTACTCTATGCTGTCACTTTACTGTCACTTTACTCGCTTTTACAACAAAATACAAGCTTCATTATACAGTTGATGTACACACAGATAACAAGTTTAGCTTAGTTAATGTGGAAAGAATTTTGAATGATTTTATCGGACGTAACAATGTAAGTTATTTAATTGATTATATGTTGGTTTGTTTTTAAATTTCTATAATACGTCTTAAATTGAAAACGAAATAGTTTATTCACATGTAAATATTTCATTGGTAATGTATATTCATTGAGCAAATTATTGCAGCATAATTTGATATCGAAACCCATTGCATTCATTCTAGAAATATTTCCATTTACTTATATGTATTGAAATATTGACAACATAAATAAACTATCTCAAGAGAATCTATTTCTTAATGAAAGAAACTCTGGCGTTTATTTCATATATGAGTATAATTAAAACGTGACGATTGAAATGCTTTGTTTGGAATAATAACTTTATGATAGCAAGAACTGAATTTTCTAGACGTTTTTCTTTAGAAGTGCCATTATAATTACGATGGCACAGTAAAGGCAAATAACGTGTGCATCAAAGCAAACGATTTTCTGTAGACATTTCATGGAAGATGGATAAAAAAGTCTTGTTTTGTTGTTAGACTTTAACATGTTGAACTGTAAGCTGCACAAATTTTTTAGATTAAAAGTATTGTAGCTTTTAGCTAACAAGTTAAATGACCAATTATTGTATGGGAGATTGCTGTATTGTACTAGCCAAGAGATGACATGGATGAGTTCAAAATATATTTCGTATTTTTACTTGGATCCCATGTAAGATATTCACCTTGTGGGCGTCACTGTCTTGTGGAAAATCATAGAAAATACACAAACAACCGCTGTACCTTCAACAAGATTAAACTTCTCAGAAGTCAATTAAAACTGCCCCGTTTAATTTATTTTCTTCCTCTATTTATTTTGTCTCAACGTGATTTCTGGTTGAGTATATATAAATACATATGCATTTGCTGTATAAGTATAATACTTGAGACCTTTGAGTTTGGGGCGGAGTTGCTATGTTGTATATTGGGCCTAACACTTCTGCTATTGGATTCAAAAGACCCTTATAGTGTTTTTTCTGTAATACATAGATGTCGAATAGAATAAAACATAAATCATGTTAAAAGCAAATCAAGTGTTACCTTAATTATGTGAATATGTATTTTCGTCTTTGCGAAGTTATCTGAAACAGATTTACTGATCTTAAATGACCCGAAGTTAAAAACACACACGCTTTTTCCATTCGACGAATTAATTTGATCTATTCATTTTACAGTTAAGAAATTTAGAATGTCAAAACATCCGGGCTATATGCCAATGCGAACACATTACGTACACATATGCACACGTTTTGAAGTCAAATGGTCGCTTGAGACCAGAAACTTTATCTTAAAATGCAATCGCTTTTTCTATTTAACGGATAAAATTTAGTAATTCTACTGTAAAGAGATTTGGAATTTCAAAATACACCCAAGAAGCATTATACCATGCGTACACAATACGCATACTGTTAACTGGTCAAGATGAGAAAGTATATATAAAACAATTTCATTTGTAGGTCATAACTCGTAACTGTGAATATATTGCCATGGTGACATTTTCATGTGATTGTATGTTGTTAAATTATCCAAAAGATTTGATATTTCATAAACAAATTTAATTACAAATTATATAGATCAAGAGTAAACAAGTTAAGTTGCTTTCTTGAAACCCATTCATTTTGCCAATACAAGTCCTTAATTTTGGTTAGATCTTGTTGATAGTAAATATAGATATTCCATTTGTTCTGAATTCTTGAAAAAACTTGAATATGAATTATAATATCACCTCACTGTATCATACTGAGTACAATTAAAATAATAATGATCTGTTTATGCACTGTTTCATCATATCAGATTAATGTATACATTAATACGACTGATCACGTAAATTTATGATATAATGATAGGACTTCTTCGTTGCTTTCAGAGGTGAGTGAGGACATTTAACGAAGAAAGAAACACAGAATCGATTTCTGTAAGAGGAAGGTCGTTGTATAACATCATAGAAAAATGTCTAAGGTAAACTTATAATATTTAAAAATTATTTTACTGAAATAAAGTGAATGAAAATGAATAATTAACAGACAATAAATAAAATAAATAAACTGCTCCATATGAAGCATTCGTGTGTATTTACGATAAAGAGAGTACAATTAGTCTAAGAAAAAGTCTAATTAGGTAAATCAAGATGAATAATTGATCAGATGTGTTTCTCTAGAATTTTCTACTCATGTTTCAAACACATCATTAACTTTAGAAAACTAGATAATTTAATTTGTAAGTTGATTTTTTATCACATGTACAAAGGGGAAACTCATGTTCAGTTGCTTATTTTGAATAAGCATATCTACCATGGAAAAACGACTGTGTCAAACTTAGGAGACATAATAACCATAATTTCATAAATATAAACTATAAGTCGTGATTGGGGCTTCTCTGTCACTATTAAAATAGTACTTCATTGTACAAATATGATAAATAAAAGTTGCTGTTATGAAGAAGGAGAATACTGGTGGTAAAAAGATTTTCTATGAAATCTAGAATTTATCCCCTATCAGCCACTTGAACAAAACATGTTATGATATATAGTTTTAAGGTCCGGAAAGTTAATATCTGAGGACTAACTTCGATAGGGACTGTTTCAAAAACTGAATCAACAAACATTAAATAGCATTTTGGTCAGAGAAGTTTGTAGCAAATGCAAATAAAATTAATGATTTAGTTTAATCATCAATTTAAAGCTTTTTTGTTTGTTTTCGATGTACTTTTTGTGTTGTTATACTTAAAGTTGCAGAGTTGCAAAGGAAAGTTAACACTAGGTTACAAAGGGATGTTGTATTGATGCAGCAAATTTTGATGCCAAAGTGCCAATAATTTGCTGCAGTCTCGCAGTAACCTAGTGCACACTTTCTTTTGAAACATAGTATGTTATAAATGAATCATCAAATTTCTAGTGAGTTTTTATTCGTCTTATTCCTCTCTCATTATTCCATATTAGTTTGTTTTGCACTGTTTTTCATTTAGGACACACGCACACACGCTCACGCACACGCACACAACACACACACACACATTCATGGAATAGAACGCCCTTTTTACCAGTTACCGCTTTATGTGGAATGTGTCACATTGAAGGTTCAATAATAATCTAAATTTAAAATTTCACCACTCTGTGTCTTTGTAAAGAAATACTAACATTTATTATACTTTATACGTTTCTTGATAAAAAAAACCCCAAACGCCCCAACACCAAGGTATCTGTATAAGCATACATGCAATTTATGGTCACTCTGGAAATTAAGCCGAAATTTAATTGAATTGAACAATGTTATTGCATTCTTTAATTAATAAGTATGATAAATTAACCCTGCTACTTAATATTGAAATTGTGTTACATTCATTGTCGGTCAAGCATGATTAAATCTGCAGGGATAGTAAGAGATTGATCAGTTAATTGGTTCATTTAAATAACGCGCGTCAAACAATCCATTATTCAACATCTGTCAGAACATTTTGAGTATTTCGCTTAGTTTCCCTGTGAAATCTTCCTGTATATACATTACAGTACATTTTTTTTTAATCTTTCATATTTTCCCATTAAGTACTCAAAACGTATCTCCCAAACTTTCCTGAAAAGTGACAAAGTGGTATGTTCTAAAATGCAATAAAACATAATTATTATGTCTTGCTTTACGTAAAATGAATTTGTAGATATTTTAAAGATCTTTCAATCATTGCATCTTACATATTCTGAGTCATTTTGATATGTAGATTGTATCGTTATGGAATAAGACTTAAAAGGATATGCACTTCCAATTGATCATTCCCCAACCGTTAACAACTTCTGACAACCTGTGTTATCAATATAAAGTTCTGCAAAAAGACCAATCCCTTGAAAGGAATAAAAACAAAAAGTGTAAAATGCAGGCCAGTTTTTATTAAGCCTGCACATTAGAGATAAGTGCCTGTATGATATTTAACAAAACATCAACGCCATAACAATAAAGCATAACAACCAAGTACAACGAGAGACAAATCGTGGCGAAACTACAGCTGCAGTTTGCAAAACAAATTGTCTCCAATATTTTAAATTGAGAAACAAGCACGACATACGAGATAGATAAAAAAAACTTCTAATGATCTTTCTAACGAGAATGATAAATATTAAAATCTGATTGTAATTCTTGAAATATTTTGACTTATTGGTTTTTACTAACACTTTGACTGTGTTGCTAGGTGCTTGTCAATCAATTGATGGATGTTGCTACGATGCTGCCAATAGTCTCTTTTTATTTGGAGATATTTTCTCTTTAACCCCTGATGACTTACTAGTTTGAAAGCTAATACACCAGCCGTATTTTACTGCACGAATATTCAGGAGTTTCGTGGAGATTATTGAAGTGTTTTACTGGATTGATTAATTGTTTTCTATAATGCCATAAATTGACGTAAGTGAACATAACCTTTATTGTCTAACGGTCATTATCAATTCCACAAGAGATATATAATATTTGTTTTTGATTTATATGTTTAATTGTAGGAATTTCAATATTTCTTTATTCAAAGTTGTATTTGAGCTGGTATTTCGAGGAAATAATGTTTTAGATATATGTTTTAGTAAAAGACAATTGAAATGTTAATGACAGTCGTATTATATATTATTAAGAAACAATAATAAACGTGGAGGATTCGGTTAAATGTTACCATTTAGAATAAAAGATATCGGAAATTGTATCATTATCCCATGTAAGGGTATACAAGCCGAAAACTCCTTTATATCCTATATATCATTTGTGAAGCATGCTTATTTTTTTAATTACTAGTACAAAAGAAGACAACCATTCATACACTTTGAATGACACTGTTTTCATTCCTATTTAGATAAACTAAATGTAAAATGAATATTGTAATGCATTTGTTAAGCATGTTCGTTAACTTTTCTTTTAATTGATTACAGTATAAAAGAAGACTACCATGAAATTTTCTACAATTTTTGACTGATAATTAGATAGATTATATGTAAAATAAATAGTTTTGTAAAACATTTGTAAAACTATTGTTATTTTCATGATGTGTGTCTAGTTTATACAGTTCTTGTATAGATATTTCCTTTATAATAGATATCACTACCATAAACCTTCCTATACGAAAATCTATCGTACAATTATCTTTTCAGGCAAATGCTTATGCTGATTTGGCAATTTCTCTTTTAAAATCTATTTTCGACGAAAAAAAAAAAGAAAAATAAACAAAACAAAAAAAAAACAACAACAACAAAATAAACCCTACAGTTGGGTACAAGGTACATGCGTATGTTTCCCCATGGAATTCAATACTAATTAAAATGACAACAAAAATTTATTAAAGTAAAAACATATTGTTAAAGGATTGAACTTTGCACTGCGTCGTAGTCCTTTTTTACAAATCCATTATTTCTAATTTCTGCTTTCAATAGTTATCTTTAATGGAGACAAAGTGGGATCAAATTGTCGAAATTCTAATTACAGTTGTAATGGTTAGAGGATATAAGAGTATTAATTCTGTAAGGTTACCATGGAAACATGTTTTGTTCTATTCTGATTAGGATGATTGTAACTGGATATGAAAATGCCACTAAATGATATTATTTGTAACTTTGTATACGTTCTTGTGGCCCTCTGGATGTTTACAATATAGCCTTCAAAATTGGCTGTGAAAGTGTCTAACATTATAAGAAGTCCAAACATTCTATCAAACAACTTAAAAAAAAAAGAAAAAAAAAAGAAAAGAAAAGAAGAAGAAAGACGTCTATAATGGTCACGTACGTTAATGCAATCATTAAATTAGAGAGATGATAGTAGATAGAATATCTGCCGTTAGCGTGTTGTATTGATCTTGCTCTTTTTGATTGATGGTAAAACTGATTAAATTCAGGAAATGTTTGACAGGCATTAATTAGTTGGTTACGGCAACATCTTTCTATGACTTTATAAAATGGATGTTGCCTAATGTGCTACAGATCTAAAAAGAAATAAAAACATTTTGTTCCACCACTGTGTGATAATTGTTCTATCGAAATCAGTTTTAAATTAAGTTTTTTAGTACCATTTAAATACGTGTTTCTTTTCTATTATCCTTATCTTTAGTAAGTGCCTTGATTTGTTCTCTTGTATTTACATATCTGATGCATTTACCTGTAGCCAATTCATGAGCAGGGCACATCTATAATCTAAAAAAGTCTAATTTCTATATGTCATGTCTGTACACATTATACCCTTGCATGAGTGTGCTCCTGACATTTTGTATTGTTTGGTAATGTTTTTGATGTAAGTATTAGTTCTGATTTCTTATTTTTCATCAAATCCTTCTTTAAATCTTCTGTTCTCGTTTGGTTTTGGTTGGTCCTACTGTGTATATTAACGTATTGTGTTGAACTCTATATGCACTCGCTGTGATTTGTCTCAGACGTCTCTGTAAATCATCATTATTTGAGGCTACGTTCTATAAAACTGTTATATCTTGCTGATTTTCAGTTTTATATTCTGCAAATATTAGAGCATCACTCTTACACGGAAAACATAGATTAAGAGACCTTAGTAAAATTGATAAATGCCCTGTAAGTTGACATTATATGACGGGGCTTGTCCTTCAACAAAATGATGTGCACTCTTAAATTGAACATACATGCCTTGTTTATAGGCACGCGCACGCGCAAGCATACACGCACACACACACGCACACAAACATACACACGCACACACGCACGCTCACGCACCACACACACGTACGCGCGCGCACACAAACACGCACGCACACACCCACACCTATAATGTGGGGACATTAGGAGATTATTATGCCTCAGAAACGAATAATGTTCCTTTTTGAGAAAGGGCAAACATGAGTTTTATATCGTTTGAATAATTGTTTTAGAAAGCATACTAGATGCCGCCATTGTTAAACAGATAATCAACCTTATTTAAAGTTCACGTCATCCGATGGATTACAACATTTCTTCTTGTATTATGTAGTAAGCTATATAG